AGCCTTAACCCTAACACTAACCCTAACCCTAACTTGACCCCTAACCCTAACCCTAACCCTAGCCCTAACTCTAACTCTAAAGATAGCCCTAACCCTATTCTAACCCTTACACTAGCCATAATCCTGAACCTGACCCTGAACTTGACCCTGACCATAACCATAAGGCAAAACTTAGGCCAAGCCCTAGCCCTAACCCTAACCCTAGACCTACCCCTAACCCAAACCCTAACCGTAGACCTATCCTAACCCTTGCATTAACCCTAACATTAACCCTAAACCTAACACTAGCTCTAACCCTCACCTTAGCCATTACCCTATTTCTAGCCCTAACCCTAGCTCTAGCCCTAGCCATAACCCAAACCCCAATCCTAACCCTAACCCCAAACACAAACACAAACCCAACCCTAACCCTAACCCTAATCCTAGCCATAGCCCTAACCCTAGCATTCACAGTAGCCCTATCTATAACCCTAACCCTAGTCTTAACCCTAACCCTAACTGTAGACCTAATCCTAACACTTCCATTAACCCTAAACCTAACCCTAACACTAGCCCTAACCCTAGCCATAACCCTATCCCTAGCCCTAACCTTAGCTCCAGCCCTAACCTTAACCAGAACCCCAACCCTAACACCAAACCCAACACCAACCCCAAGCACAAACCCAACCCTAACCCTACCCCTAGCCCTAACCCTAGCCTTAACACTACCTCTATCCCTAACCCTAACCCTAAATGTAGACCTAATCCTAACCCTTGCATTAACACCAACCCTAACCCTAACACTAGCCCTAACCCTATCCCTAGCCTTAGCCCTAGCTCTAGCCTAGCCATAACTCAAACCCCAACACTGACACCAACCCCAACCCAACCACAAACCCAAAACTAACCCTAATGCTAATCCTAGCCCTAGCCCTAACCCTAGCCTTAAAACTAGCACTATCCTTAACCCTAACCCTAGCCCTAATCCTAACCCCAAGCTGAACCTTAAACATAAACCTAGCCCTGGACCTAACAGTAACCCTAACACTACCCCTAGCCCTAGACCTAATGGCAACCCTAACCTTATGTGTTAATTTTTTCCTTAATAAATGAAAAGTTTTAAACATGGGTACATAAAGCTTTGAACTTTTAAAAATAATATAATTTATTTTTGCCTTACTATTTTCACAGTAATTCCTAATCATCATGTTTAGTGACATTTCTACTTTTAAGTATTTCATGCATAACAAATCCTACTATAGTCTGAATCTAAATTCATTGCTTCCTTTTTCTTTTGAAGGACAAATGACTCTGCTTCTTTCAGAGACCATTCCACCTACTTGTCACATGGACATAATCCCTTTGGCACTTTTCAAGGATTTTGCCCTTGAAATTACTCTGTCTGTGTCCTCTTAGTCACATCATTTCATCAATATACAAGTAAGTTTAATCAATTAACTTTAAAAATCCTTCCTTGAGACAAAATATCCCTATTAGTCTGGTTCCATTTCTCAAACCGCAATTCACAGCAAAAGTTTGAAAAATTATGGTCACTATTTGTCTTGACTCCATTTCCTATTCATTTCTTTTATATAATTTACTTTGAAGCAATTGTAAACTATTAAAAATTTGCATAAGCAGTACAAAGAACTTCCAAATCTCCTTCACCTGGTTTTCACAATTGTTTATATTTTACCATATTTGTTTTTGTCTCCATGAGTATACATAATATATATTCTATTATCATTATTATTTTTCTGGACACTTATGGGCAACTTGCTATGTAGTGTTCCTTTCTCCTTAAATACTACAGTGTATATTTTCCAAAACCAAGACAGTCTCCAACATAACTGTCACACAATCATTCAAAACATGAAATGTATGTTGATAGACAACTACAATCAAACCTGAAATTCATTTACATTTTCCAACTATCAGTTAAGGATCTTTTCCTTCTTGTCCAAGATGCCACCCAGGATCATGCTTTGCATTTAGCTCTCATGTCTTTTTAAAAATCTGGAATAGTTTTTCAGCCTTCCCTTTCTTTTTACAGCCTCAAAGTTTTAAAGAGTATGGATCTTTCATTTTGTGGGGTGTTGCTCAACCTGGGTGTGCCTGAAGCTTCCTTCAGTTCAAAGAGGGGTCACACAGTCTTGGAAGGAATACCAGAGAAATGATGCTATATCCTTATCAAGGCTTAGGAGGATACTAAGGCTGATCCTTGCACAAGGAAGTCATGGAAACATTGAACCAGTTGGTGTCTCCCTTGTTTGTTTGTTTGTTTACTGTAAAGTCACCATTCTCCTCTTTGTGAATGGTAAGCATTTAGTGGATAGATACACCAAGTCTAACCCTATATTCTACTTTTCATAGGTTTGTAGTGTGTCAGCATGGTTATGCTGAATTATATTTCCTAGAAAGTTTGCAGTAAGCAGAGCAACACAAGAACCCTGTGGGACATTTACAGTGTGGAAGTGAAGCAGCAGACATTATACACGCTCACACCAAGTCACTTGTCTATTGGCTTGGACAATATTGGGAAGTTAAGAAATCATGGTATTGAGTAGTACAGACTGGCAGAAGACGGTTTTGTGAATACACAACTTAGTATGAATCTAACTGCATTTTGTATACAAAGTGCATTTCTCTCAGAATGAACAGTAATGAACTCTTTCAACACTAGTAATTCACATCGAAATGTGACTTTCTTGAAGAAAAAATACTTAATTAAACATCATGTAAAGACTTCATAACGTTACTCTTTGTATTTATTTCACTAGAAGGTGAAATATCAGGCATCTAGAGTAATACATGCTGTTTTAACACTTCTGTAGTAATGATGCTCATAAATGCTACTCTTGCAGTAATTTTCATAAGACACAGCTTCTAGTATGAAGTTTGTGTTACATTGCATGAACAGATGCATAACACATTGAATTCCTTAAGTACACAGAAACTATAAGTTACAAAATGCTGCCAAGTAGTCTCTCATGTAAAAAATATGGGGAAGTTAAGAAATCTTTGTATTGAGTAGTACAGACTGTCAGAAGACAGTTTTGTGAATTGTGAATCTTAGTATTAATCTGTGTATTTTGTGTAAAAAGTGCATTTCTCTCAGTATGAACAGTAATGAACTCTTTCAATGCTAGTAATTCACACTGAAATGTGAGTTTCTTGAAGAAAACACACTAAATTAAATATGCTGTAAAGAGTTCACAGCATTATTATATGTATTTCTTTCAGTAGAATTTGAAATATCAGGCAACTACAGTAATATATGCTGTTTTAACACTTCTTAGTAATGATGATCAGAAATGCTACTTTTGCAGTAATTTTCATAAGAAATAGCTTCTAGTTTGAAGTTTGTGTTACAATTGCACGAACAGAGGCATAACACATTGAATTCCTTAAGTACACAGAAACTATAAGTTACAAAATGCTGCCAAGTAGTCTCTCATGTAAAAAGCATAGGGAAGTTAAGAAATCCTTGTATTGAGTAGTAGAGACTGCAGAAGATGATTTTGTGAATATGAAACTCAGTACGAATCTAATGTATATTCTGTGTAAAAAGTGTATTTCTCTCAGAATCAACAATAATGAATTCTTTCAATGCTAGGAATTCACACTGAAATGTGACTTTCTTGAAGAAAACATGCTTAATTAAACATGCTGTAAAGATTTCATAGCATTACTCTATGTATTTCTTTCAGTAGAAGGTGAAATATCAGGTGTCTAAAGCAATACATGCGTTTTTAACACTTCTGTAGTAATGTTGCTCTGAAATGCTACTTCTGCGGTAGTTTTCATAAGAATTAGCTACTAGTGTGAAGTTTGTGTTACAATTGCAAAACAGAGGCCTAACTCATTGAATTCCTTAGGTAGAAAGAAACTCTAAGGTACAAAATGCTGCAAAGTCGCCTCATATGTAAAAAGTATAGTGAAGTTAACAAATCTGTTTTGCGTAGTAGAGAGTGGCAGAAGAGGGTTTTGTGAATAGAAAACTTACTATGAATTTAACTGTGCATTTTCTGTAAAAAGAGCATTTCTTTCAGAATGAAAAGTAATGAACTCTTTAATGCTAGGTATTCACAATGAAATGTGACTTTCTTGATGAAAACACGCTTAATTAAACATGCTGTAAAGAGTTCATAACATTACTCTTTGTATTTGTTTCAGTATAAGTGGAATTATCAGGCATCTGTAGTAATACACGCTGTTTTAAAACTTCTGTAGTAATGATGCTCATAAATGCTACTTTGGAGTAATTTTCTTAAGAACTAGCTTCTAGTGTGAAGTTTCTGTTACAATTGCATGAACAGATGCCTAACTCATTGAATTCCTTAAGTAGAAAGAAACTCTAAGGTACAAAATGCTGCAAAGTAGTCTTTCATGTAAAAAGTATAGGGAAGATAGGAAATCTTTGTATTGACTAGAACAGACTGGCAGAAGACGGTTTTGTGAGTACAAAACTTAGTATGTATCTAACCCTAACCCTAGACCTAGACATAACCATATCCCTAACCTTAGCCCTAACCATAATTCAGCCCTAACCATAGCCCTAACCTTAATACTAACCGTATACCTAGCCGTAGTGCTAATTCTAACCCTTGCCCTAAGGCTCATACTAGTCCTAGTTCTAAATCTAAACCTCTTCCTTACCCCAAGTCTAATCCTAGCCCTAAACGTAGCAGTAGCCCTAGCCTTAGCGGTGACCCTAACCTTAAACTAGCACTAGCCCTAGATCTAATCTTAACCCCAATCTCAATCCCAGCCCCAACCCAAGCATAACACTATGCCTAACCCTAACCCTAGCCCTAGCCCTAACCCTCACACTAACCCTAATATGTACCCCAACCGTAAACACAACATCAACCCTAACCCTAACCTAGCCCTGATAATAAGGCTAAACATAGCCCTAACCTAACCCTAACTCTGTCCCTATCTCTAACCCGAACTGGAGCCCTAACACTAAGTCTAACACTATCCCTAACGCTAACCCAAACATTAACCTCATGCCGCAGACCGCGGGAGTCCAGCGCGCTCAGCGGAACTCCATCTCTGGGCCCGTGCAGAGTGCCCGGCCAGGACCCAAGCTCGGTTTCAGGGCGGCCGCTGCAAGGTCGGCCATGGCAACCGCGGAAGTCTAGGCGGCCGAGGGGGACTCCGCCTCTGGACCCTGTGGCATACTGGGCCGAGACCCAGGCTCTGGTCACGAGCGGCCGTGGCAACTCCGGCCCCGGGCAACCGTGGAAGTCCCGCCAGCCCGCGGGCACTCTGTCTCCTGGCAGGTCTGGCCATCGGGCAACTCTCCGGCTTAGCTGGGAACCGGGCTCCAGTCGCGGTCGTCAGTGGTAACTCTGGGCAGGTGAAGCCTCGGAAGTACATCGGACCTGGTTAGGACACAGGCTTCGGGCCCAAATTCGGGTCGGTCCAGCCACGGGTGTCCAGTCGTTTGGGCAGGACTCCGTGCCTGGAGCAGCCGTGGTCGACAGGCCGGCTCGGCTGGGACCCAGGCTCTTGTGCCTGGCAGAAGTGGCAACTCCGGCCCGGGGCAGCCACAGAAGAACCGCCCGCCCGCGGTGCCTACCATCTCCCGGGAAGGGAGACCGAAATCAACCAGCAGGACTGGCCGGGTCCCAGGTTCCGGTCCCGGCCTGCCGCGGCAACTCTGGGCAGGGCCTGGTGGGACTCTGTTTCGGCTCGTGTCTATCAGGCTCCACCAGCCGCTCTGGCCTGGGCTCAGGGGATCCGTCCAGGGCAGCCACGGGATCTCTGTGCTGGGGCAGCCGTTAAAGTCCAGCAGGCCAGGTGATACTCCGTCTCCTCCTCCGGGTGCCCGGGGTCGACCAGCTGACCTGCCGGGATCCAAATTCCGGTCCCGTTTGGCAGCTGTAACTCTGGGCCGGTGAATCTGCGGAAGTCCAGCCGCTCCAAGTGGGAACCAGGCTTTGGTCCCGGTCGACCACAGCAAATCTGTGTTGGTCCAGTGTGGAATTCCAGCTGGCTGGGTGGGACTCCAACTACGGTCGGGGGTGTCCGTGGTCAACTAGCGGTCTCGGCGAGAAAACAGGCTCGGGTCCCGGGCAGCCACGGCAACTCCTGGTCTGGGTGGCTGTGGAAGATCAGCTGCCCCGGTTGTAATCTGTCTCAGGGCCGGGACCTCCGTTGTCGACCAGCCGGACCTGCCTGGTCCCAGGCTCCGGTCCCTAGTGTCTGCAGCAACTCCCAGCCACAGCAGCCGCGGAAATTCAGGCGGTCTGGTGGGACTCCATCTCAGGTACAGGGCAGCCGTTGTCAAACAGTTGGCCTGGCGGGGACCCAGCCTCCTGTCCCCGTTGGCCAGGGCAACTCCGGGCCGGGCAGCTGCGGAAGTCCAGCCAGCCCAGCGGAACTCTGACTCTGTATCCAGGTGGCCAGGGTCGATCAGCCGGCAAGGCCTAGACCCAGGTTGTGGTCCCTGGTGTCTGAGGCAACTCTGCATGGGGGTCGCCATGGAAGTCCAGCCAGCACGGCGTTAAGTTCGTCTCCAGGCCAAGGCAACAGGGTCATCCAGCTGGTCCAGACAATATCCAGGCTCTGGTCCCAGGCGGCCGCAGCAACTCCAAGCCAGGGCAGCCTCTGAACTCCAGCTGGCCAATTGGGACTCCGTCTCTGATCCAGGGTGGCAGTGGTTGTGCAGCCGGCTCAGCCAGGACCCAGGTTGTGCTTGCCAGTGGCCACAGCAACTCTAGGTTGGGGCATTGCAGCCACCTGGGACCGGAGACTGGGTCACACCATACCGGCTATTCCACCCGGGAGCCCGGGCACGGAGACTGAGTCCCACCAGGGATTAAGTTCAACCCTGACCACCCGGGTCCACAGACTGAGTCCCGCCAGGCGAGCTGGTCAAACCCAGCCTCCCAGACCCAGAGAGTGAGACTTGTCAAGCCAGCTGGTAGACCCCAGCCACTCGGGCCCTGAGATTTGAGTCCTGCCATGAGGGCTGGTCGACCCCGGCCGCCAGACCCAGAGAGTGAGACTCGCCAGGCCAGCTGGTCGACCCTAGTGGCTCAGGCCCAGAGACTGAGTCCCGCCATGCCGGCTAGTTGAGAACAGTCTCCTGGACTCAGAAACTGAGTCCTGCCGGGCCTGCTGGTCGATCCCCGCCGCCCAGGCCCACAGACTATGTTCCAGCGGGTGAGCTGATCAAACCCACCCGTCCGGATCCAGATACTGAAACCCGCCGGGCCGGCTGGTTGTCCCAGTTGCTCGGGCCCAGAGACTGAGTCCAGTCATGTCGGCTAGTTGACCCTGGCGCCCGGGCACAGAGAGTGAGTCCCACAGGGCTGTTTGGTCTGCCCCAGCTGCCCAGGCCCAGAGACTGAGTCCTGCCCCGTGGGCGGGTTGACTCCCACGGCCCAGGCCCACGAACCGGGTATCACTGGAAGGGCTGGTGGACCCAGGCCGCCCGGCTGGTCTGGAGACCTAGTTCTGTCAGGCCAGCTGGTGGACCCCAGCCACCCGGCCAGCTCGGAGACCGAGCCCCGCCGAGCTGCCTGGTCGATCCCAGCTGCCAGCGCCCACAGACTAAGTCCCGCTGGGCGAGCTGGTTGTCCCCGGCCGCCCGGACCGGGAGACTGAGTCCCGCTGGACTGGCTGGTCTTCCTCAGCCACTTGGGGCCAGAGGCTGAGTCCTGCCGGGCCCGCTAGTCTTCCCATGCAACATTAAATACTCACAGCATATTTTACAACAGCATACAATGGTGCATGCCTGCAGACATGGAACAATGACAACAGCATATGAATAGATTTAAGGTAATTCTAAGGTGACTGACAAATAGCAACCAAACCATTCTTGATAATTGAAGGTACAAAAATGAAAAGAGGAGTTTTCCATTTCAGTGAAAAATTATATACATATATTTTATATATATAAAGACAGTGACGTGAGCTGAGTGATAATGCAGATTAGAATGAAATATAAGAAGCAATCTGACCCAATCATCTTCCTAGCTTCTCTGCACTCTGCTCAAGTTTCTGCCTCCTGGGCACGTGTCATCAAGGCCCTGGCAGAGGCCAAGGCAGTGTGAAGGCAGCAAACTACTCTTGGGAAGCAGTGTCTGGAAGCAGGAGCCCTCAAACTCCCCAGTTCTCAAGTGCAGACTCCCCACTCCCATTTGATAGTAAGGGTGCCAAGTAGTGCGAAATTCCTGGAATTTTTGCTGCTGATTGGAAGTCCAAACCCACTTTCTTCAAGGTGATCTATCTTTATCTTTGTGACTGATGCCAACATTTCGTCACACTTACATACTTTCCTGGAAAGATGTGTGTATGGTACTGCCATCTCTGACTTAAGGAGAGAATAGATACAGAACAGCTCTGCCTTGTGCTTTGTGGGGCTCCCCTAAGGAACCAGACCACTCTGGAGAGGCAACTTTTCCCAGTGGGTGGAGTGATTTCAGAGATTTTGAATGTCCTGTGGTTCCCAAATTGCGAGGAGCTGCCTCGTTGGCCAAAACAGGCCTTAATATCCTTTGTGTGAATTATAGATATGGTTGGATAACTAAAAGCAAAACCATAGTGGAATGTGACTAAAGACAGCTATAGCTTCTCCAGGGCATCAGTGTATGTACATAAAGTTTCACCAGGCAAACAGGAAGAGAATGCCCTGGAGAGCTTGAGGCAGCATGAATGGTCTAATAATATTCTAGACAAGGTAGAAAAGTCTCAGATTTTTTATGTGTAAAATTCTCTTCTTCCTCATTGTAGTTTATCTTTGGTGAAGGGGCACACAAGTAATGGCAAACAAGTTACATTTTAATAACCTCATTTGCTTCCAGGAGAAAGAGATAGGATGCAAGTGTGTGCCAGGTCCACTTTGGTCCAGATTTTTGTTATTAAGCTTTTAATAGTTGTAGTATACTCTCTGAATATAATTCTTTCAGGTAATAATTGATCCATGTTATAATAAAAGCTACAAATGATGAAACAACTTATGGAATATACAACTATAACATAATATACACTATATAGCATGTATTATATACAATCATATATTTTAAATGCATTATAGACATATACATATATGCATGTAGAAGGAATAAAATAATATATTGTACATTAAAATTATAGGCCTGTGGGAGATGGGATTATGGTGGTTTAATTTTTTTCTATATTCTAATACCTTGAAATATGAATAAATTATAAAATAACTTCTCTTGTTTAGAAACAGCACACAGGGGAGTAAAACTTGGAGAAGTGGTTATGATTTGATCAACATTTATACTTTAAACTCCACTCTGAGAAGGAAGAGATCACAATAAAAGATGAACCAAGCTTGGCTCTTACAGAACATGAGCTTTAGTGTCCTGTCCTCCTTGTCATGAAGCAAGGGTCATGCTTACAGAGGAGCAATGGTCAGCTTTGAAAGCAATATTTCAGATAACATTTCAAAGCAAGCATTGTCTTTTTCCAAATGAAAACTATTCTTCAAATAGAAACATTTTTATAAAAAACAATCAGCCCTGGCTCATGTGGCTTAGTTAGTTGGAGCATCATCCCATACCCAAAAAAATGTGGGTTTGATTTCTGGTCAGGGCTAAGGCTTACAGGGCCTTAGATTTCAGGTTCAATTCCCAATCTGGATGCCTATGATTCCTGGTCTGGGTGTGAATAGAGGGCATCCATGTTTCTCCCTCTCCCTCCCTCTCTCTCTAAAAAGCAATGAAAAAAAAATGTCCTCAAGTGAGGATAAAAGAGGAAAAAAACACAATCTTCCTTAAGTTAAAATATAAGATTAGCTGCTCTGGCAATTGGAATGTGAAGAGACAGTGAAAGGGTTACTACTTTTGGCCTGATCTGCAGTTTCTGCAAAGCCTGCAACCTTCACTGTGATCTGGCTGGTACTGAATCAGGGAGATAATTGGCCACGAGAGGGCATCCTCATCCACTGAGACAAGATTTTCAGTGAGCTCCATAAATAGCACTAGAAGGGTCAAGCACAATCTTGACCTAACTGGCTCTGTTTTCTGTGGTTTAAGCATTATATTTGGAACATATTAAATTTGACTCTGAGGATGTTAACTCCATACATGTAAAAAAATTACCAATTTTATTCAGCAGCTTGGAGCAATCCCAAACCCAAGTCTGGAAGTTACCAGCTCAGGAGCTAGCTACCTCATATCTGAATGTTTCTCTGAAAAAAGCTTCATACCAGCGGTCACAAATCTCTCCTAGCAGGATACAAGTGACGAAAGTACTAAAAAAATATGACACATTCTAGAAAATACAGAGAATATAGAAAGGTCAGTTATGGGAGATACATTTGCTCAGATGTAGCAAAGCTAATGCTAATTTGCCTAAGCAACTTAATTGGCAATTGTGTGCTAATGCTGGGCAAATATATCAGAGAAATCATATTTAGAAACTTAATTTACAACCTTTCTTATAAGAATGGGAATGTGTAAGTGAGTGAATGTTGAGCGTAATTTGGAGTTATGGTTATAAGAACCTACATCTAGAATTAGCCATAGAATATTCTCTTAGGGAAAAAAACAAACACCTATTTCTCAGTTATAATTCCTATTAGTTTTTTCCCACTTGTTTTAGATGCAAAACCCTCAGCAGTGTAATTTTGAGAAAAATCAATTAACCCCTAGGACCCTCAGTTTCTTCAAATATATTTAATCTATACTTCCAAGACCTCTTTTCAAGGGAATACTGAGGTCTTTGGCAGGGTGCATTTTGACAGTTCTTTTTTCCCTTCCTGTATACTTCCCACTTCAAAGGCAGAATTTATGTCATCTTTTTCCTTATATATCCCTAATCTACCTGCCTTCAAGTAAATTCTATATTCTTTCTTCCCCTCTCTGATTTATTTTAATTATTATTTTCAACCTAATCTATTTCTTCATATTATTTCTCTCCACTA